CAACGTGCTCATGGCAAGACGTTGTGAATTATCAGAGTTCGAACAAGGCATGATAGTCGGTGCCAGATGGATGGGATATTCCATTTCCAAAGTTGTCCGGGCATTTAACATTCTTCGATCTACAGTGTCACGTGTGTACCGGGAATGCGTCATAGAAGGCATTACCACCCACAGTGGACGGTGCAGTGGCCGCCCATGGGTGCTTAAAGATTAGTAAGAATTGTCCATGTGAACGGACAAGCGACAGAAATCTTATCCAAATTCAATGCAGAAGGCCCTACACGCACATCTCACAGGTCAATGCAGCGTTCTTTAGCTTCCATTAGATATGGGAGCAGAAGACCCACCAGATTGCCTCAGTTAAGACCATGACACCTGACCCAGCACCTTGGGCTTATGAGTTTGCTAAATGGATCCTGGAAGTCTAGCAACACGTGGCTTGGTCGGATGAGTCACGGTACCGGTTGTTTCAGGCTGATGGCACGTTGAGTTGTTGCACTTTGCTGGGCTAGAGGGGGTCTTGCACAATGCTAGTTCCTATCCCATGACTTTTGGCATGCCATTGTGTGTTTACATTTATAGTTAGATTTATTGCTCAGTTCTTCTAACTGTATGTACTGCCCTCAGTTATTCAGTACTTCATTGTAGCCGTATCTCCCATTGCACATCTTTTTACTTGCAGATTGTTTTGTGTATTGTCTATCTTATATAGTACATATTTTTCTATATTTATTTTATCTGATTTATTTTATGTTGACACCTGCACTAAGAGAAATTCTTTGTACACCTGCAACTTGGTGAATAAAGATACTGATTCTGCGGTTGAACAGTGTTCATCTTTGCATCCACGTGCACTCATTTATGTGTGCACACAAACATAAATGTCCCACTTGCATCACCCACTCACTGACTTAACCCTGTGAATTGTAGAGTTATGGTGGCTGTTAGCTACTTTCAGACAAACTGTACAACTAAGTGCAGGGTGTATGAGACCTCTGCAGATATTGGGAAAGGAGTTTTGTATTGCTTTCTTAATCACAGAGGCGTTAGAGAAGGCATTTGATTGTATCCTCTGAAGGCCAAATCTTGAAGATGAATAAGTAATACAAGACTGTCCAAAATAATATCCTCCATAGTTTGATAATATGTTTTGAAATTGACTGTTGTCTGTGAGCTCCCCAGCTAATGTTGATGTTAATATCACTTTGCATTCAATAAATGCAGCTGGCTAGCTGGTTGGAATTAAGGAAATTACATTTACATTAAAGTAGATAAATCAAGTAGACACTCATCTCTGTAATTTACATAGAGCCCTTATCTCCTGTGAATCGTTTATAAACATTACAGACATCCTGTGGTACCCTTACTTGTCTGTAAAACTAATCTTGTCTGAATAGCAATTTATTTACACAGTTCACATTTAATTTACGTTCTGCATTGGCAGGTTCAAGTCTGAACTCATTTTTCATTTGTTTTGGTGTAAAACAACATCAGTTGAAGCCAGGAATGTCGTGTCTTATCCACAGCGCACCCTACTGTTTAAAGAAAGGACAGCATTAGGTACACCAGCGCAGTGCTTAAATTGAGTATGTGGATCTGGTTTACTTCTAAGTATTATATATGAAGACTGTGTTTGGGCACTTGACACCTTAGACCTTCCTCTTTTTAAGCACTGTTAAACAATATTAAGCCAATTGACCATTTGCAAAATAGTAATTGACACAACTCTCAGTCATAACAACCACCTCCTAATTGCTACTTTCTCCAGCAAGAGAAGGAACAGCGAAGAACAAAACTCACCCAAACAAATCTGTAGTGAGAACGGCATTGGCAGTAATTTAGTGAGGTTACTGAGGAACATTCATTTCAGACACCCACTATCCAGCTCTCAAAGGTAAAAAGGAATCTATGTGGAGGACCATACTTAGTGTAAGAACATAAACATGCTCTAAGGTGAACTACGCCTTATCTGTGATATACTGCTGATATATTGCTGATACACATTTTAATGTAATATCTAATGATAAATATCATACAGAACAATGTTAAGATCAGTTGCAGAGCTAAGTTTTGCAAGGTTTCTTAGCTGTTGACAGCTAGTGTAATAAATTAATTAATCAGATTGAACAGGACTGTACAGTGCAACTGCAGTGTTATGTAAAATGGTAAATATTAATGCACTTGTACATGTGCCACCCTTTCACTGCAGTCAGTGAGGTCTGATAAAAGACCTTGCATACAAAACCAGTCCTCCTCAGTATGACATTGCTCCAACTAGCTCTAGTGTTAGCATTAGCTCATCTGAAGAAGCAGTCTTCTTTGCTCTAGGCCTTCTTATCTGACGTAATGCTGTTTTAGTGTCAGTGGCTAAAAGAGTTTGATTGCTAACATGGTTTCCAGGGTTTTTTTTTTGCTTTATTTTGCCTACATCCATTTTTCTCAATTCTTAGATATTCATGTCAGCATGGAAAGTTTTGTAAATCCAGTTTAATTTTGAATAATATATATTTTTTTAAACATACTCCTCTATGCGCTACTGAACTTTGTAGTCTGTCAGCACAACTACTACAGACTTCATTTCTTCTTTCCACTCTGTCCCTGTGATGGCTTAGTACCCAAACTTGACTATCAGCCACCACTTATGTTGAAACAAAGTGAGAAAAATACTCACAAATGTTGTGTTTGAAGTTTGGAAACCATGTTAATTTATTATAGCAGTATTTTGTCTTGCTAAAGACTGAAGATCAGATAATTATTCCTCTTGTGACTTAATTTTGGTTTGTCACTCCTTACGTAACACACAGGCCAAGTAGTTGATGTGAGTGTGAAATGGTGACTGTGACGTGTGTATTGTTCAGTGAAGCTCCCAGCACAGCGTCAGGATGAGCTCTCCTAATTATGAGTGGCAGCTGTGCTTCAGTGCTTGTAATCAGCCTGTGTGCTATTAGGGGACATCATTGTTGGGCTCCTACATTAGCAAAGTGCCCTAGTCATGCTTTTTTAGCTTCAAGGTTATCATAGGTCTGCCTGTTACTGTAGCAGCATGGCAGTTGGTGTGTGCAGTAATACACCATGGATACATTTGCGAGATGTCTGTTCTTATTTGGCACAGTAAGCTTAGCTAATCTAATTTCATGCATATAGGCTTAATTGATTTCATTAAAAAATTGCAGCACTGGGTATAGAGTGGAAGGCAATAGATTAATTTTAGATAGCCATCAGTCATTTCCAGACTTTCAGGGATTTTATTTATTTATTTATTTTCCTCTACATTGAGGAACTGCTTGGCCATAAAGCAAAAATTGCTGGAGATTTTTAAAATATTAACAGCCCTATGTATATTTAAAAAACTCTATTTGTGTCTTAACAAGGAAGCATGAAATTTGTCCTTGGAAATTTGTCCTTTTAGGACCTGCTGATGTACGTGTTTGCTTAGCGCCTAGCTTAGCAGTATGTTTTAATAAATGAGCATGCTTCTTTATTGATTTTGACTTAAAATGTAGGACTAATCAGGTTTATTTCATGGAAAGCCATATCACATGTGAATATTTGTGGCAATAACTGAAAAAAACCTTAGTAGCTGTAACTTTCATACGAGACTTTGTTTGATCTGTCAGGTTTTCCAAACTTGCTTTCCAAAAATGCTCTGCCATGAATCCTGCAGGACATCCCATGGTTTGTGGAGTTGACTGGACACTCAAACTTTTCAGTCCAGCTTATTCTAAATCAGCTTGTTTGGCTTAAGGTCAAGTGACCTTTTTTAATTCTAATAACAAGAACATGTGAGGGAGGAATATAAGACACAGAGAAAATGAGAGAACATAAAAAAGGTAAATGAAAAATCTGGAATGGGAAAATTTTAAAAAGTGGCTGTCAGTCAATTAAGTGTTCCAAGTGTATTGATAAAGAAATAAGACAGTGTTTGTGGGGTCAAAAAGAGAGGATATATTTTGCGTTTGAGCCAGTTGACGAAAAGTATTGTGAATTGCCCATGGTTTTCTATCTGTTTTTATGTCAGAAAACGTGTCATCTGCCACTTTCGCATGCACAAAAGTAATCAGAATTTGTCTTGTAGTCTTTGATTTCTTTTGCCATGTTTTCTTTTATGGGTAGTCCATGTCCATGTTAGTCCTAGTATGTTGTGTGACTTTAAAACATTGTGTAGCGGCGCAACACTTTTATGTAGTTGTCTTTGAACAGATAAAGCCAGATAAAGCACCCATTCAACACAAAATGCCTTTTATTGTAAAATATGAATAGGGGCTTCAACAATTTAAGTTGATAAAAACAAAAAGACAGAGCCTGTTATTGTTATTAATAACCTAATAATAATAATTGTCTACAGTAACTTTAAAGGAAAGCTACAATAATAGTAGCTTGTAGGCTGACTTGATGGTAAGCCTTGGCCATTTTGTTATTGTAACAAGAAGCTATTTATAAACTTAAAACGAACATTTTGTAGAACCTATAGCAGAAAATACAAAACTATACCAAAAACTGCAAAACCAAAGCTGGAACAAAGTTAGCTTATACATTTCTAAGGAAAACTTCAAGCAGCTCTCTGACTGGCAGATTATGCTCATCCAGTAATGTGTACCATAGGACTGAATGAGAATAAGTGTGATAATGACCTCCTTTATTGGTCCACCTTACTAGGAAAGTTGGCCATTTTGCTGCCTGGGGTAGTTGGAGATGCCTGGTCCAAGGGTACAACCAGAGGAACCTATTTAGTTCTAGGATTTGGAACTACAACCCTCCAGTTGCTGGCTTATATTTCTTACAGCTAGGCTACCCCAGTGGCTTGTATTGAGCTTGTACTTGGACTCTATGAAACTCCAGTATATTCTGGATTATCTGTGTTCCCATATTTCCTCATACAATGTCTAGAATCAGAGTAGAAGAAGAACAGCTCATATAAGTACTGGTTTGGTTAAGACACACAGTTTACTTTTCAGTTTTCTTTCAATAATGACTGAGGAATTATTCTGTCATTTCCACAGATGGCACTAGTAATGAGAGCCCAGGCGATTCTACAGTGGGCCGCAGCTACGTCAAGAAGAAGCTTGAGCATGGCCTGAGTCGGATTTGGCAGGTTGGTAGCACACTCATTTACTCCTTTGCCCGAATTTCTGTTTAGTCCATCAGCTCTCTGACCACTGCTCCACTTCCCCCCATCTCTCTTTGTCTCTGCGCTCAGGATGTCCAGCTGAAAGTGAAAGCCTATTTACTCGGGACGGACATGTCCAACTTCAAGTACGACGACTTCATTGTGGTGCTGGATGTTATCAGCAGGTAGGCAGCCACATTCTCATTAGTGCTAATTGGATTGGCTGGAGTCCTGCCCTGCTGCCCAGGGCCCGTGTGAAACCCCTTTAACCCGGCAGAGGGGCTGGGGGCAGAGGGCATTAATGAAGCCGCTTGTTCCACAGTGAGAGGGGAAACCTAGGCAGCCCCTTACAAGCCGCACAATTAAAAGGCCGTTGAGTGTGTGGAGCTACAGCCATGTTTGGCTGATCCCTGCTCACGGGTCAGCAGGGAGGATGAATGCAGCCCCCCATGCTTGTCCCCCCGTGTGAAAGAACTCCAAGGGATTAATAAGCACTTGAAGCACTAAAAATAATAATAGCTTTATTTATAGTATCTTTCATACATAAAACTGCAGCTCAAAGTGCTTCAGAGTGTATGTAAATAAACACAGTGTAGGTGATTAGTATTGTAATAAAAGAACTTAATATTAAAACAACATGTCAGTTTACTAATAGTACACAACAGTGAATTCTGAACACATATTACACATATACAGTGTCATTCCACTGACCAACACTTGCTAAGTAACAGCAGTGGTTTCTTTATTGAAAGCTGCTAGAACTGCTTCGAAGAAATTGAATATGAATAACTAGGGCTGTCAAAGTTAAAGTGTAAATAACACATTAACAAGATAAATTATTAATGCCTTAGTTTTTTTTTTAACAGTGTTAACACAGTTTCCTAGTTTGACCCTTTGTTTCTTAGCTGTAGCCCTTGTGCAAAATAGTTTTACTGAATTATTGTAAGGAACATAAAAAGGAAATAATAAATACACTCTGATGATGCTTATTTTGTGTATTCATAGCTTCAACATGCTTTACTTTTTAAATGAGAAAAAAAAAACTTTCTTTAGTATCAGATTAGAGCAAATAAGACAAATGTGATTCATCAAACATATACAGTATTGTGCAAACATCAGAGACCATCCTTCATTCTTTTGTTTTCCAGCCAAATGGCCTTTAAGTAGACGTTATTCAGTGTCAGGTGAAAGATTAGGGCAGTAGATCAGGGGTGCACAACTCAGGCCCTGGAGAGCCAGTGTCCAGCACAGTTTGGTGTTTTTTCTTTTTCACATACACCCGATTACACTTACCTGTTAATTACAAGGTTTAGTGGGTGTGTTTTGAGTGGGGAAACCTCCAGACTGTGCTGGACACTGGCCCTCCAGGACCGGAGTTGTGGACCCCTTTGTTAGATAAATGCCTCTAAAACTCAGAAAACAGTATGTAAAACTTTTATCTTTGAGAGGCAGGAGAAAATCAAGCTCCACTGTTACATCAGATATAAAAAAAATCACAGGTGTTTCTGTTCATCCTTGTACTGTGAGAAGTCAATATTATGGGACTGAAAGGATGTGTAGCTGTCAAAAAGCTGTTACTAACAAAAATTGAATGTGTTTGGGCGTGCTTGGATCACGAGACACATTACAATGAAAAACTAAGTCTCCCGGAAAGAATGGAAGCTGTGATAAAGGCACAGGGATGGAACGCTAAGTATTGAAAAATTGGTATTATGTTTAGTTGTGAAGGCTTCTGTGTAATTTACTGTTAAATATGTTTATTTCTTTTTTCCTGACATTGAAAAATGAATAACTTCATGGCCATTTTCAAATAAATGAAAGATGGCCTCTGACTTTGTGCACAGTAGTGTATTTGAAACAGTGTTCAAGGCTTCTTTGTTTTACTTTTCTTTTTTTACTGTTATATAAAAGCAATAGAACACTTCAGGTTATGTGTTAAGAGGATTTAAATGTATTATAATAAGTGTAGGGTTGTCTATAAGAATAAAAATAGAACTTCATAACATCAGACCTTTAAAAAATGCTAGGTTTTTAGTTGCTTTTGGAAACTAGTCATGATGCATGTCTGGTGAATATTAATAGGTCTTTGGTGCATCACAATAGAAGGCTGCTGTTTTGTTTTTTATTTATTTATTTTGTTTTGTTTTGTTTTTGTTTCCCTTCACCAGTGGAATTTTCATCTAAACTAAGTCCACCTTCACTCCATCTGGTAAATGTGCATGCACTCTCCCTTGGATGTACTCCTTCTCATTTTTATACCTTTTTTTTGGTCTCTTTCTGTTTCCCCAGGTTAATGCAGGTGGGTGAGGAGTTCTGTGGCAGTAAGTCTGAGGTGCTGCAGGAGTCCATTAAGAGGCAGAGCGTGAACTACTTTAAGAACTATCACAGGTGAGATGGGTGCTTATGGCTTTGCCTGACCATACGCTCTACTCATTTAAGAATTATAGTCTCTCTTAAGTATCTTGAGTGGAAAAGTATGCAGTATTTATCTTATATAAAGTATATGATGTTTAAAAACACACCTCGTTCATGGGCTTCTAGAAACAATATCTAGTACTTCTGCTCAGCTCATGCAATAACAAATGTTTGTTTCATGATAAGCACGAATGGTTCTCCCGCATTCAGTATGTTGAGGTGGATGAATATTACAGTGCATAAATATGTTATTATAAAGGGGAATTATGGCAGATCAGCCTCCCGAGTGCCTGATAACTGTCAGTAATGTTTCATTCCTCATGGCTCTGTGCTGAAAGGGCACGGGCAGCATTAGGGGTCAGTGTCTCTGTCTCCATCCCTCCTGCTGACACCAGCAGCACTGCAGAGACACTTTTACCCAAGGGAAAGTTAGGGGCTCAGTCTCTCTTGCATAATTTCACAATTACTGTAGAGTTTTCAAGCACTCAGGCAGCATCCATAAAAAGTGATTATCTGTCAGCTTCCTGAATGCATGCTGTCTCTGCTGTCACGCATTCTGCATTAACACATTTCATCGCTGGAATATATATTGCGCCTTCCAGCACAAAGGACAGAAATGACATTGTACCCCCCCTTTTTTCCCAAATAGGTCGTAATTGCGAATGCGATGCATTGTAAAATATCACAGAACAAATGTGTGCTGACTTTTGTATTTAAAGCATCAAAAATGTTCCGGTGCATCTCACTTAAATTCCTTGGATGTGTAACTATCACTTCTGTTTAGCTCTCTTTATCTGTAATTATTCTGCTGATGTTTTTCCGCTGTATAAATTAATGTGAGCTGGAAGCTCCCATGCTTTATTTAAGGCTTTAAAGCATCAAATTTCAATCTTAATACTGACATTTCGGCTGAAGCTGTTGATATTGACCCAGACAAGCCGTGGGCTACTTGTGCAGTGATCTGACGGAGAGAGGCAGCAAACTCAAACTGCTGACCATGACCTTTCTCAATGCTTTTTGTCCATTATGTTGAATGTGGATCTATTTGGTAGTTATTTTTTTCTCTTTGCTCATGCAAATCTTGACCTCTTGTTCCTCTCTGTGGCCTTAGAACTCGCCTGGAGGAGTTGCGGATGTTTCTGGAAAATGAAACGTGGGAGTTGTGCCCTGTGAAATCCAACTTCAGTATTGCTCAGCTCCATGTGAGTTTCAGCACAGCAGAGGAGGATGCATACATGTTACATATATGTGGCAAATGTGACCTTTAACATGACTGCTAATCTAGACCAATTGAGGTTGCTGTCAGTCATGGGAATTACTGTACATGTGGTGATTAGTCATGACAGTGTTTACTTGGGGCCCTTGCAGAGGTTTGCGCTACTCACTGCAGTGACAGAGTTAGACACCAGGGGGTTAACGATCCTTCCAACAATGCTGCACGTTATTGTAATCTGCTTTCCTATAAGCATAATGATATTGTTTGTAGGTGGCATGATTAGCATTCATGATTCCATCTTAGGGCTGACTTAGGGCTAGTGTTAGGGCTACCAACAGGGTTTAGAAATTAAGTTCAAATTTCCTGCTGGTTCAGTAGTCACCAGCCCTGCTCCTGGAGATCTACCTTTCTGCAGACTTCAGCTCCAACACACTGATCAACCCCTGATCAGTCTAATTACTGCCTTTAGAAGCTGAGGTGTGTTGGAAGTGAAACCTGTAGAAATGTAGATCTCCAGAAGGAGGGTTGGTGACCACTGGCTCTACTTTGTTTATCAAATATTCAGATATATTCTAATTTTAAATACATTTTTAAGAAGATACCAAAACTAGTAAACCAGTAAACATTTTTTCTAAGACAATGTTGCATGTCCTAAATCCATAAATGGGCACACAAATAAAGCAACCCCAAAAACAGTGTTATAAACCAATGATCTCTGCCTAGAGGCACAAGATAGTTGTCTAAAAAGGAGAATGTTTATTTTTAAATATTTTTTAGACTGACTTTTCCATAAAAATCCCTCAATCCAGTAATATATGCAACTAGCTGCATGAGTTGAGGCAAGGACATTCTAACCAGTATGGGTGGCTACAGTGTGTAGCACCGCTTAGCAGAACAGCTAAACCTAGCAACTTACTTCACTACTACATTTGGAGCATTGGCTTATCAGCAAAGGTTTGCCATCTGAAGCAGAACAAAGAGAGAAGCAGTGAATTCATTTCTGTCTGTTATATTCTGTCTGTTAAAATAAACATATCACTCCATTCGGACTGACTGAGTTGCTTAAGAGCTGCTTGATGTTTTGATGGTATGTTCTTCTGTACAATCAGTAGCGTTTCTGGATCATGCCAGGAGCCATTGCATTGGAATATGCATTTTTGACACTTTTGTTTTATTTTATTTTGACTGTCCTAATATGGGTGCAAGCAAGAAGGCCTTGATTGGAAGTGTGAGCTGCAGAAATTACATAAAGCCTATAGTAACCAAATATGTAAAATTATAAATGTAAGCACAGTGATAGTACAGTAAAAATTTAAAAATGACTAGATAAATCGCATTTATATAGTACACATGTATCATGCCTGCAGTCATTTTCTATATTTTATCTTTGCATTTCTTTATTTTTTCTTTTATCTTATTTCTCAGCATTTTTTCTAGATCAGTAGTCTGTTTTCTGATTTGCTATTACAGTAGGTTCCTGGTGAAGCTGACAGCTTGTCTGAATTAGCTTACCCTGCTGCCTCTTTATCAGTATTGTTTAAACAGTTTCGTTGTTGAGCTCTAATATCTGGTCATTGTCCAACCACAAACATACAGGACTCCCTCTGCCTTTGTTTCTTAAACACTTGCTAGCCTGTTTTCTAATTATCATGATACGATTGTTTGTCCGTCTCATTCTAATTTGCACTTAAAAATATGCCACATGACACACAGCACCCGTTGAAGCTCCGCTGTAGGCTAACACATGAAAGAAAACACTGTGTGTCCAAACACTGAGACCCGTCTCTTGATTAGCTCTCTGCTCTAGCTTTTTCTCCTGTCATAATGGAGCACTCTCATCATCAATTTTAGCCTGAGGAAAGAAATGACAAGTTAATAAATGAGGCTAGGCAGCATTGTCAAGTTTGCTCAAACATGAGCCATTAACTCTACAGCAGTCACAGCTTTGGAGATGTCAATCTCCAAATAAATTATTTGTTTTCATGATATGTGCCTGCCACACATGCCCAGACACCCATATTCACCTGAGAGCATCTTATGAATAAATCAGAAAGTGTTTCATTTTGTTTGCATATGCAGACAAGAGCCTTTCCTGGTGTTAAGTTATCTTCAGAGAAGGAATGACGTTTCCTTTTTGTTTTTGGTTTAAAAAAGACAAAAAAAAAGATGTTTTTGGAGGCATGAAAGCAGTGGGTGTAATATCAGAATCTCATCACTGAATAGCACACTCGCTGGAGCTCTTTAATGAGCTCCATTAGCATGATCACATCTTGTCTGTGCCCTGATGTACGAAAGGGTTTAAGCATAAGCAGTTTAAGTTCGTTTAAGGCTATCTTTCCAGGGCTTTGAGCCCTAGCCCTCTGTGCCAATTTGATTGCCACACTATTTCTGCATTGATTTTCTATCAAAGCTTTGTATTAAAGGCCTTATAATCTTCCTGTTTGCTGTTTACGGCCTGTCACGTTTCAAAAGATGAATTACACAGCTCGTTTGATCATGGCAGAGCTATTCTTCAGGCTTCTCTGTTTAAAGAAAAGCGTATTGGTGTTTTCAAGCAGTTACTGTGCTGCCCAACGCCAACTGCACCCTTAAAAATAAAGGTGCCAGAAAGGTTTTTTTGTGCAGTGCCGTAGAACAAACTTTTGGCTCCCTAAGGCACCTTTTAATGGATACTTCTTTAAAGAACCATTTTTTAAATTAGATGTGTCAGTGTAAAGAAACTTTTTTTTTGAGTTTCAAGAACTTCCACATAATTTACTAGGTTCCTAAATACGTAATTAAGGAAGAAATCTTACATTGATGTAGACTGTTTACATGGTGAAAGGCTTTTAAACCTTTTAAAAGGTTCTTATTGCTCATAAATGTCAATTACATGAAGGTTTAAAGAACCTTTTTTGACACCTTTGTTTTTGTTTTTAAGTGTGTAGGGGTTCCTTTGTTAAGGATGAAGAACACATTAAAGTCAGAATACCTTTCGAGGAAAGCACCTTTTGTAAAGTCATTCCAGACATAGTGAGGGCATCCAGATAATTTCAAAGGATGTTTGACATTTATTTTGAAATTTAATGACCACAAAGGTATGAACTTGTTCATAACACCATGAATTTGTGTGTTTTATATACAGTACTGTGCAAAAGTGTGGTGCCCCTGACAAAATTGTTTAATTAATTAATTGCTGTTTATTTGCATAGTAAGTGTTTTTTTTCTCAGATAAACACTTGCATTAAAATAAAAACCAATAACATTCATACAAAAGTGTTGATTGTATGTATATCATTGTTTTTGTTCAACTATTTCCAGACCTCTCCTTGAGGAAGCCCAGTGTTTTTTTTTGTTTTTGTCATCACATATCAAATTTGGCTCATCAGTCATTCATTATGTCAAATAAGTGTGCTCCCATTTAATTAAATTACACTTAATGCTTTGTTTTTGTGCTTTCATTTGTAGGAGTTTAAGTTCATGGGGCAGTGTCGGTCTCCGTCAGTTTCTCCCAGCAGGCAGCCGGCCTCCAGCGAGCCTTCGGAGCTCTCGTTATTTGAGCAGTACACTCAGGGAGGAAACCCCTTTGAGATGCAGATAGACAACAAGGAAGAAGAGACCGAGGATGTGTTGGCCTCCAATGGGGTAGGCTTATTGCTCAGTTATTTCACTCCTATTGTAAAGTTACAATTACATTACGTTTTACAGACAAGGCAGGTAAAAATAAATCAGTAACACATTATATAACGAGTCATTGATTAAACATCTCATTATTGGGTTTACTCTGCGTTATGTTAAAGTGTTTCTGAAGTTCTAACTCAATGTTCAGTGTTGCTTTGTGTATTTTCCACAGTGGATGTTTGTGGTACGGTGCTCCATCAGGCTCGAGTGGACTTGATTTCCGTCTTCAGTAACATTATCGATGCCACAGCGAGTTATTACTGAAATGAGAGAATAAATCGGGGCTGTAATTAAACTGGACGTAATTAATTTAGGGTGTTAAGCGCTTTATAGTCTCTCAAGCTGCCGCATGGCACTCGTATCAGCTTTATGGAGGGCAGATTGGCTGTATAGAGTTTACACGCTGTTATTAGTGCTCAGATGTGCTTGACATTTCAGAAGAGATATTGGAACAATGAAAGTAAATAGAGCGTTTACACTGGCTATAGTGGAGCCCATGAAAGAAGTGTTTTTACCTTGAGACAACATGCCGTGAAACATTGCGAAAAACAGATAGTTTCAATTACTCTGGACTCAGAGTTAATGTGATGTTTAATTATGACATAAGAGCTCATCATCCATTCAGTAGGACTGGCTAACAGCCTTCGTGGGTACACACTGTCTGCAGTGTTTATCACGGTGCTTTTTCAAAGCCCCTAAAAAAAAGAAAATTATTATTGCGACAGTTTCTATGAAACATCTTGAATTCTTCAATCACCCTCTGTCTCATACATCTGTTCCATGCATCATTCTGTGCACTGCATACAAATGATACTGCCACAGATTTAGATTCAATGCAGTTCTGGGTTTTCCTTTTTTCCCCTTTGTATTTATGTGTTTACTCCCGACCTTAACATTTCACTGGGCTGTTTTGAGTAGCTGAGTAACTGAGCTATGATGAATAAATATGAACAAGGACAGTGCGTGGGATGAAGCTCACTTCTTAGCCAAGGCTTCTTTCTGGCCATTGGTCTTACTTAACCCCCCGCCATTCCTCTCTCCATCACCAGTATGAGTCAGACGAGCTGGAAAAGAGTGTGTATCAGGACTATGACAGTGACAGTGATGTGGCGGAGGAGCTGAAGCAGGACTTTGTGGATGAGCAGACTGGAGACATTCCGGCAAAAAGGTCAGTATTAGTGGCACCGTCCAGCTTAGGTCAGAGAATGTCTTCATACAATGTCTTCACCCTGGGTTTATCCAGCAGTAAAGGCAGCACTGTGCTTCTTTTATGTAGTGATAGAAAACACAGCAACACACAGAAAGCTCCAGTTTCGAAAGCTTTAATTGCTGATATATTTTGCTCTGTACTAAGTTGTATTGAATGCACCACAGCTACTCTAGAGGCAGATTTTAGTAAGTTAAAGAGGCAGAGACAAAGTCTCTGAATGTGTCATCAACAAGACCTTGGGTATGAAAGGATTAACATGGTGCATTTGCACGTTATACTTTTATGCGTGCCTTTATTTCCAGCCGAGGAATGGAAGAAATCTTTTCAGCTTATTCAGCCTACAGCTGTTTAGCTCCGCCTGTTCATGCTGAAGTTATAAGGAGGTTTTAGCGTGCACTGTTTTTTGAATGAGGTGCAAAGACAGGGCAGCCAGTCAGAATAGAGGTAATGTACATATTAATCTTAAAGGCCCAATGACAAGTGAGGTCGGAAAAATGTTTCGTACATAGGACCACACAAACATCATAGTGGACATCAAGTGGGAAAAAAAAAAAATTAAATGCAAGAACAATGTAGGATGCAGGTCCCTTAAATAACTAGCTTTAAGTGTCTGTGTTGAGAATAAATGGATGTTTACTGTAGACGTCTTAAATCCTACAATTAGCAATCAGCATAATGACTCTCTGTTTCCTTATTGATTTTCAGCAAGGATAGGAAGCAACAAAATCATCTAATTTATGAGCTCTGGATTCTGGCCCATTTCAAGTCTCCATTGCAGTAGAACCTCACACTGTGTACTGTGTGCAAACAGGGTATCATTAGCTTCTTATCAGAGAAAAGAGGATTAATTATCCTATAAAGAATGAGCCTTTTAAACCCATGTGGAGGTTTTAGAAACAATTTCACTTCATTTTCATTAAGCAGTGGAATAAAACACATTCTTACATCATTAAAATGGTTCCTTTGGAATGGCCTTATCATTTAGTGGATTGTAGGGGATATAAATAGCAATATGTTCTATACTCTTTTGCCCCAGGCCTATTGGGGGCATCCCTGCTCATGGAGATCAGCCAACAGCCAACAGTCAACACACTTTGGCTCTGAGATTCAGTTGCTCCTCAAGGCCTTGATTAACTGGATCAGGCTTGTTAGATTAGAGCTGAATCTAAACTATGCAGGGCACTCTCCAGGAGTAGAGAAGCCTTTGGCCTTTAGTCTTGGTACACATTCCAGCCCACCTAAAATAAGTAATCAAAGAAATACGTTTATAAATTAGGGCTGTGCGATATGGATAAAAATCCTGGAACCATTTTACAATAACACTACATATGAATGGTTACAAATTAGTTTGTTAATTGTTGTTAATTAGGTCATACGCACAATAAACTGTCATAACACCTAAATAAAAAGGACAACAGTGGCAACAGTGAAGCTGGGAGGTATAATGCTGACTAATGGAAAATACAAAGTATGATAAGGTTTATCAGTGTAGATGAATGTGGGCTCACAATATGTAAAAGCAACTATCACTGTCACCCTTTTTATTTATGTGTTATAACTGCTTATTAATGATTTTTAAGGTGTTTATTGAGTGGTACCTATATTTTTGTATTTTTGATATATCTCAGTGTGAATGCATTCTTTCTGAAATGGTAGAAAAAAGTGAGTTTCTCATTGTAAGAAATATTATTTGGAATAAAAAGCCTTCATTAAATGTAATGGGACTTGAAGCATGAATGGTATGCAGTCATATATCTTCTGTACTTTTCTTTTGTAAAGCTGTTGGAGGTCATAAAGGAGGGCCAGATTTCCTAATCATTGGTTGAACTCCCCACTGATTTATGAGCATGTGCACAGAAGCCTTGCTTATTCACAGGAGGTCACCCCTGAGCTGCACCTGACTTTGAATATGATGAATATGCATTGTAGGGTGTGGCATTGTTAAAATGTGTAGAACGGGGGAGGAGACTATGCAAATGAACAACCTCAAGCAATTTACAAATGTATATATCTGCTGCTCTGAAGGTGCAAGAGAAGCCTTATTAGTTATTGAAAACAAGCTTCTTTTTTCATCTCTTCAGTTTAAGTGTTTAATGGAATAAAAAAACGTTTCTTAAGTGATGGGAGTTCAAGGAGTGAGTATGTTTATTGGAGCGAGACATTAAAGGAATTACGTATCACTGTTAGAACCAGACCTTTTATCTTTTATTTGTCATTTATTTATTTATTTATTTATTTATTTTTACAGAATTTGCTTATGATGGTTAATCTTTTTATTTTAATTTACCCACGGATGTTTTGGTAGTTTTAATTATTAATGTAATTATTTTACATTATTTTTTTCACAGTGATTTTCCTAGACTTTTTCCTTTGACTGCAGCTGGTTTAAATGTACTTTGAGTGGATCCACGGATTAGAGTTTCTGCTACTCAAATTAGCCAGTTTGCAAGTGACGTCATAGAACTTTAGTTGCAAAACTAGATCCAGCTGCACTCACTAAATTTTAGCATGGACTGTAGTTTTGCGTACTCCTTAGTAAATCTGGCCCTAAATCTTGACCCTCCTCATCTCAGTACTTCTACAGTTTTTAGCAGACACTCTTATTCAGAACAGATTTTACATGGCAGACAGGTCCATAGCTGCCTGTATTTCTGCCCGAATGGGGAATTGGACCTCTCCATATGTAAGCTGGTGGTTTTATCCACTGTGCTGTTCAGTGACTTTACATGTCAGGGTATTGCTTGAGTAAAACTGGCACTTTTCATCAGCAGTCTACTCTTCCAGTTCTGCGATAAAGGCCCTGAATAACACAGATAAATAAAGGGGCCGCACAGAAAGAGTGACAGAGATGTGGTTAAGTGTTGATGTGTTACCATCTGATTACATTGCTCTACTTGTTCTTCCTAGGAACCTAACTATAGTTTATGCAAACATACATGACCACCAGAGGTGGAACAACCAAACCGGCCCATATATTCTATACTTCTCATAGTTTTTCTGGAAAGTGTAGCTATATTCATTGCAGCTGGGTAATGTATCAAGGGTTTGATAATGAGGCTAACATGCTCATACTCACAAGAATATGCAAGACTGCACTGGTCTTAAGGAAACTCAACCATGCACAAACAATGTGCACAGAACATGAAAAAAGGCATAATGAGGCTTATTAAGAGCACCACAATATTCATGATGTTGCCAAATTTTCTATATATTGTATCTTAAAAAAACAGTCATGAATATATCATTTATACTTGACACATTACCCAGCCCTATGATAAATCTAGCTATACTTTCTTGAAAAAATATGGGAAGTATGGTACATGGGCCTGTTTTGGTAGTTCCACATCTGCTGGTTGCATACAGTTACCTAAACTATAGTTAGGTTCATAAGAAGAAAAAGCATAACTATGTAATTAGATTGTAACACATTAACAATTACATACATCTCTCTCACTCTCTCTTTCTGATTTTTTCCATTTTTGTTATTCGGGACCCTCATCAAAGACCTGAAAGTGTAGATCTCTGATCAAAGGTGCTGTTTTTCTCAGATTACCCTTTAATTGCTTTATTTATTACTTTAGAGCATTAAGAGTAGTGTATACGTCACATACATCAGTCATATAATTAGAGGACTCATTAAGTTATAAACAGTAATTAATGGTTAATGCACCTCCTTTCATCTGGTTCTGCCCCAAAGCAATGACTACCACTTCTTCCTATTGCACACCGGCAAGCTTGATGCTAATTGTATGAGACTACCAGCTGTTGAGGGATTACGAGTGTTATGCTTTCTATGCTTGCAACTGATTTCTGTTTTCTGTCTAAAACATACTGAGGAAGTGAAAAAGTATGTCATGGTTATTTTTATTTTAATGCATTATGAAGTATGTAGTTGTTAATGTGGTTGTATTACTTCATACTCAGGGCTGTTTCCTACTCCAGTTTGTGAGGCATAAATTGAGATGACAATCATGCTTCCATTTCAGGGCTAGCATGAGAAGATACGTCACAGTCGAGAGATTTTAGTCGTGTTGAAATGCTGTGCTCCCTGTGGGTGAGGATCCTTGAGAGCACGCTAGGCTCAAGCAATTAGCGATTACCTTGTAGTAGTGCTTATTAAATCTGCACGTGTGACAGTTCAGAGAGAATTCTTGGAACGTTTCTGACACATTGAAGGAAACAACTCACATACTGCACTGTGTTGCATCTGTTGCACTGATTCCAACAAAAATAGAAGAAAATGGTCATAAATTAAGAGTGAACAGTGGTTTAACTTAAGGGGATTTCCACAGATTTTTCAAAATTTCTACATAGTTTAATCACATAGAAGCAAATTAAGTCATTAGGAATGTTTTGATGTGAAAAGTTTTGTTCTAGAGAAACTTACTGACTCTGATTTCTTTACAGTGGTGGTTATAGGAACCAGAGGTTGTGGTGTGGTGTTGACAATGCAGGTCATTTTGTTTACTATCCAAAATGACCAGTGAACCAATATGTGTCTTCCGAGTGTTTATATATAATGTTAATAATGACAAGGCCTGGGAACGAGGTCCTAATGCATGCCACAACTTAGTAAGGCGTGGGAACAAGATCCTAATGCGTGGCCACGACTTAGCAAGGCATGATCTCGTTCCCACGGCTTACTTTCTCATAGCCACGACTTAATTATCTCATTCCCACGCCTTACTAAGTGGTGATCACACATTAGGGTCTTATGCCCACGCGTTAATATGGCGTGGCAACGCATTATTTTTATTTATATGAGATGTCACCAGCAAGGCTCCATAGAAACCTCATCACATAACCATCATAAAACGTGCCAAGTGACAGTCAGCATATTCATAACCATTTCATGTAATGGCTTTCTATGAGGAAGCTTTTAGACATGTTAAAAGCTTTGGACATCTAGTTCATATCACCACCATTTTGAACATTTCTAACTCTGTAACTTTGTTTAGAATGGAGCATTTTCTATCAAACCAATGTGAATTTGTTTGTATCTTAATTTGATTATGCAGACAGTCTAAAAAAATAGGTGGAATTCCACTTTAAAAGGAACTTTTTCAAATGCAGCATCAGTGTGGCTGTAAAGATAAATAAATAAATAAACGTATAGTTGAACATGGGCTTGTATGTTCTGTCTTTAATCAGTGTATCCAGAGAGACGCTCCGCAGCAGAAAGAGGTCTGACTACAACTTGAACAAAGCCAATGCCCCCATTCTGACCAACACCACCCTCAACGTGATCCGCCTGGTCGGTGAGTAATTGACCGCTGACCCTACATCCACTTAAGGGTAACAGAGCAGTGACGCAATTGACCCAGTACAGGGGACCTCAATTTGCCCATCAATTAATAAGCTAATGGCAGAGGTGTGCTCATAGCCTCACCTATGTGTTTCCTTTGCTTCCGGTCATTAGCTCTATTTTGCAATAGATGGATCATCTCATCTGAAACATTTGAAGGTATGCTAATTTGTCTGATGCATTGGCAGAGGTGGCACCTTAAACTCCACTGAGGAAAAATAAATGGATGAAATCTTTCTTCATTATTTCATACTTTACACAGAGATTTGTTGCTTTGATTTCTTTATTCACAGCTTTTCTGATTCACACCTCAATGTTGATTGTTCTGAGTCATTTCGCAAACCAGAAAAACTGGGGAAAACTTTGGCAATAGATTTTTGTTAACGTGTTTGATGTGAAAGAGCCTATTTTAATTTAGAGAGCTTTTATGTCTTTCAGTTAATAGGAACGTTTCAATGAATCCTTTGAGAATTCTTCTGCGGATAAATGAACATAGATCATTTTGCATCTACAGCAGTTTTATTATACAAAACACTTGCCCTTGACATTTTTCTCGTACTCATTATTTGGGGCTGTGTTGTGTCAGTGTGATCTTGTTTTGTTGTTTGAGAGAATATGATTGAAGTCAGTTGTGGAATCACATGTACAAAGAGCCTTCCTCAGCATAGAAGTTAAATGAATTTTCTTATCATTCATCGTCTCTTATTCAATCCTAACATTATTACCATCTTGTATTCGGTATGTATTCTTTATTACTGTTTTTCCTAAATTCAATTCCCGTGCCTGAGGGTGCATGGAAATGCACTGGTCAATGTCCAAACAGTAAAGATGAATGCACCTTAGGTATTAGATTCTATTATGATTGACTAAGGAACATTTCTTGAATTCTTGAGAGTTGTGCTGGATGCAGTATTGACTGCTGTAGGAGGAGCTTTTTAAACTGATTCCTGCTGAAGGAACATTTTACTGATACATCTTGCTGTTGAACAGAAGACACTTTTATTTGTTTCTAAATAATTTAACATTATGTGGTGGTCAGGAGTACTGTGCAAAAGTCAGAGACCACCTTTCATTTATTTCATTTTCTGTGAAAATGGCCATTAAGTCAACGTTATTCATTTTCAGGAGATATTTCTGAGAAGATAAGATATAAGATAATTCACTTGCCTAAGGAATAAGAATGTTAAAGGAAAATAAAGTGAAAAAAGGAGAGTTTCCAAAACCGTGGTCCTTAAATTATTAAAAGATAGAGAGAAAATGGGACTCCTGGGTTCATGAGTTTGTGATTACTTGGATCGTGAGAAGCAAAAACTGTTAACAACTTCTAAGACTGAACTTTGGAGGAACTTTGGAAAAATATCCCTACGGATTTTTCTTTGAAAAACTAAAAGCAAGTCTCCTGAAAGAATAGAAGCTGTAATAAAGGCAAAGAGTAGACAGTAAATGCTGATAAATTTGATCGTATTTAGTTGTTGAGGCTTCAAGTAATCTTAAATGTATGTGTTCTGCTTTTTTTTTTATGCTGAAAAATGAATAACTTGTATGCCCATTTTGGCTGTAACTGAAATAAATGAAGGTTGTTTGGCTTTTGCACAGTACTGTACATGATTACATGTATATTTATTTTTATGGCGCTTCATCGCACAATTAACTGATAACAGCTGGAATCATTTTGCTTGGACTACATATTCCAGTCTCTCCTGAAACTAAGCTGGGAGCCACACTCTCTGCATTAAATTGATGAACTTAAAAATATAGTTTCTTGTGCATTGACTCATGTTATTGTCTTTTACAGGCAAATATATGCAGATGATGAACATTTTAAAACCCATTGCCTTTGACGTCATCCACTGTGTATCGCAGCTTTTCGACTACTACCTGTACGCAGTCTACACCTTCTTCGGCCGGAATGACATGGTACGGCTCCGGCATGGCTCTGAAAAACATTCCTTCCATTATGCATCATTGTCCTGTATTTTCATGCTCAAAGTTCTCGGCTCCCTGATAATAAATTATTCAGCGCTCATGCAGAGGCAAACGGCGCTTTTATGTTCTTTTTGTTCCTGCTCCTTACCATGAACATATGAGCATATAACGACATGTTTATGAAGCAATCACACCAGCCTCTCGTTTTTCCCATCGCGCTCTTAGGCCCCGTGGGTGTACTCTGTTCCATAATTACTGCTATTATTATCTGAGCAAACTGAGCAAGTGTCTGACATGCTAGGGGTGCGCCCCATTATTCTGAACATTGAAGTGGGGGGTTGAGCGTCAATGGCTTGAAGTCTGTTTTTCTTTTTAAGGCAATGTGCAGTTTGTCTTTTCCCAAAGCCTTCCCAGAAATAATGTGAGATTCCTGAATATTTTCTATAATATGAAGATTAAAAACCTTATGCCCTACAATAACTCTCTTGTAAAATGCATGAGCCTTCCCAAGCAGGGGTACAGGAAGAGGTAAGCTGGTGCTTGTGTGCATGGCAAAAATAGCTGTTCAGAAAGAGATCAGCTTATATGCTGAGTTAGGGATGGAGCATTAAATTAGGGCACACCTTCCATTTGTCTAGTCTCTGTCTCTTTCTCTTCCTCTCTTTTCCTCTCTCACTGTCACTTATTTGATTTATATCAGCCATCAGTTTCATTTGAACAGTCTGTGGCAACACGATAAATACTTGTAATAATGTTCATACTGTGATATTAGTTTCATGAATATTTACAAGCGCCTGAAATCGATTTGCACACATGCTGCCTCTGTGACCTGTGACTGACTCTAAACACAGAAAGCCTTCAGCTACAATGTATAGAACGTTATTTCTTCAAATAATGAGCTATGTTAATATTCGTAAGGGGAGTATGCCATTGTACGTCTCCCACAGTATCAGCTTTGCCACGCACTCTCTAAGCTGCATTGGTGCCGGCATCCAAAATTGTGAGTTTAAAGTTAATAACTTGCCTTTAAGGCGGTGAGTGCAAAGAATGGGTGAAGAGAGAGATGTGGAGATACAGAGACTCCCTTGGAAAAATGAATCATCTCCAGAGTGATGAAGAACCTCTGAGCTTTGGAAAGTGCCGAGCTGAGCGTAGCGATGCTAGTGTTTCAGCAACAGCAGCACAGTTGTCCCTGTAAAGAATGGCTCTCTTTAGAAAGTTAATTTGAACATTAGAGGAAGACTGGCTTTATTGACCACCTCACAGCCATTCGTCTGGGTTGACTTACATGACTTCCATTTGCACGCTGCATTGGTCTGCTCCTTCTACAGCATGTATCACAGAAATACAGACGTCCTTGTCTAGTAGACATTACACATTTAGCAGTCAGTTTTAAAATCTGTAGGCACTTCCAGAGCGCTTCTTTGGGTGGTGTTTTGCTTGTTTTCTTTGACGTCACTGTTACATTGTTTTGTTCTGGTTCTGTTTTTCCCGTATGTTTTTTCCCCTAAGCATGCTCCTTGTCCAGCCATGCCTATCCCAGGCGGCCAGCTAGGCGGCTCCAGACAGGTGCCCCCTGGCTGCGGGGTAAGACCACAGCTTGGCACTGTTGCACGTGGCTGTATGTTAACCCTTACAAATCACAGATATTGCTAGTAATTACAAATGCAATAATTTTACTGTTAGGTCTATAAATATTTGTTTGTCAGCAAAATTACTGTTATTTTAGCTGCCTACCTCAGCATATTGCAGTTTAAATAAAATAAGGAATATGAGATCAAGATGCTGACTGTCAGCTTTAATTTCAAGGTATGTACATCCAAATCAGAGGAATTGTTTATAGATGTAAACTGTAATAAGCTTCAAAGACTGGGAAGGAAGACCGGATTAAAGTTTGCCAAAAAAAATGTAAAAAACTTGTACAGTTTTGGAACAACACTTTCTGGACAGATAAGACTTGTACCAAAATGATGGGAAGAGAAGAGTAAGGAGATGGGAAGGAAATGATCCGAAGCTTACCATTTCATCTGTCAAGCATGGTGGAGGTAGTGTTATGGCAGGGGCATGTATGGCTGCCAAAGGAACTGGCTCCTTTGTATTTGTTGATGTACCTGCTGACAAAAGAAGCAGGATGAATCCTAGGTGTGTTGGGCTATATTATCACCTCAGATTCAGCCCAGTGCTTCAAAATACATTGAACGGTGATTCACAGTATAGATGGACAGTGCCCCAAAGCGTACTGTAAAAGTAGGCCAAAGGTAGGCCTGGCAAAGTGTCACCAGGGACAAAACCCAGCATCTGGCGATGTCTGTGACTTCCATATTTCTGGTAGTTGTTGTCTGCAAAACATTTCCAGCCAAGTATTAAAAATGACCAATCATTTTATTCGTTTTGTTAGTTGTCCAATTCCTTTAGAGTCCCAAAAATGGGAAGAGTTGTGCATGGAAGTGGTGGTACACCAATCTGGATGTAAATACCCTCAAATTAGAGCTGCACTTATTTAATTTCAGTTCCAACAAGAATGTTGTCAGTGTCCAAGTGTTTATAGACCTGACTATGTATCAGTTTTTATCACTAATAGCTCTGTGAAACAAGCTGAAAAAATTATTTTAGAAGAGCAGATTCCAAACTATAAAGGTGTACTGTGTTTGTTTATAAACAGAAGATTATTTAATGTGATTTGAAAATGTCATTTTTGTGTGTACAGTCTTGTTTTGCAGAAAGACATCCTTTACATTATTTTTAAATTATGGCAAACTGTTGATACAGAATATTAATTGAATGTCAATGTAATTATGTAATTACTTTCAGACATTATAACAAAAAAAGTATAATAACTCTTGATTTGTAAGGGTTAAGTCATACACGCTGTGTGGAATTGGTGTGTTTAATGCTCAGCTGTTTGCTGTGCTTAGTCTCAAAAGCAAGACTTCTGCGTCTGGCGAGTTTTGTCCCTTTAACATAGCCCTGAACTGTGCACTCTAAGAGGAAAAGGCCTTGACTGACATACACGATAACCAACCACAGACTGTTGTTTTAGTGTGACATGTAACGGTAGGTGATTTTCACAAAGGGGGTACAACCAAGACAAACCGGCATGCAATAAATTTGGCATGTATCAGGCATGTGAGGGTATCTCGTCTAAAAGCTAATAAATGCTTCATTGAAAACTCCTGAAGATGTGATTCCGTAAACTTCAGCATCAGCTTTTTCCATCCAGTGACTATATTGCTCTGAAAGGCTTAGTCATTGTTTCCCATTGGACTGTTTAAATACGCTGCATGGAAATGCATACACACAAACATGTGGACAGCAAAGCAGAATGCAGCTGGCAAAATCCTGACAGTTTTGACCAGTTTAACCTACCATAGATATCAGACACTCCATTTACGTGTGGACGGAGCAGCTGAAGCTGAGACTGGTCTGTGCTACACATAGTAAAAGCCAAGATTTCAAATGAACTGTGACCACAACCAGTATTAGAAGATATTCTCCCAAAGATAGTCTCCCAAAATGCAGTTTACTGTAACGATTAAAGCTGTTAGAGCTTCAGCTTTTCCCCAAGTGTTGTGCAGATGATCTGTCCGATAGAATAAACTGTGAAGTAATCTGTATTTATGTAACTTTTGAAAAGTGAGAACATTGAGCGGTCAGAAATGCGGCTAAGACAGATTTATTTTATTTTGTCTGTCCTCTTCAAAGAGTGAGTACAAAGTGAAACAAATGTCAGTGGTTTTCCTAAAAACACCTTGCTATGAAAACATTCCCATTTGGCAGGCGAAAAGTCAATAAACCCAGTTTTAATTCTGTTCGTGTTGTGAATTTTTTTATTCTTTGAATAATTCAGTTCAAGATTGGCAGTGCACTGGCAGTGTTCTGAACATGGTTTGCATGGCCCCCATAAATTTGCAAATTTCCCCCATATATGACCACCATGTTCCCATCGTAAATTTCTCGTTTCTGTGAGACGGGACTAGTGTTTGTAGTTGTTCTGTGGTCAGTGTCAGTCTGCCAGGTCATAGCTCACTGCAGCTCAACTGCCTCACCACAGCCATCATGTTGACTACATGAAGACTTAATTTCACCCACGTCATCGTGTACGGTCTGTGTGTTTGTGTCTGTGTTATGGTGATTCCTTTGAATGATTTGGAGTTAAGTTTTTTATCTAGAAGTTCTTCCTATGTGTGTGTGTGTGTGTGATCTGTGCTTGTGTGTGGTTTGTAGAAGCATAAAGGGTCTTCCAGCTTGTGTGTGTGTGTGTGTGTTGTGAAGTGTGTTGAGTAGGGAGTGTCTCCTCACTGTGTGTGTTCTGCTGTGTGTTTCCTGCAGTATGAATCATCAGGGCTGGGTCTGATCAGCAGCAGACTGAGAACTACACTCAACCGCATCCAGGAGAGCCTTATAGACATGGTGAGAGAGAACCCTTCCTAATAGACATACACCTCTCTCTCGCTCTCTCTCGCTCTCTCCCTCTCTCTCTCTCTCTCTCTCTCTCTCTCTCTCTCTCTCTCTCTCTCTCTCTCTCTCTCTCTCTCTCTCTCTCTCTCTCTCCCCCCCTCTCTCCCCCTCTCTTCCTCCCTCTCTCTCCCTTTTTCTCTCCCCTTCTCCCTCTCCCCAGTTTGTCTCTTTCCTTCAGAGCTGTCTGTCTCTCTCTTTCTCTCTCGCTCTTTCTCTCTTTCTGTCTCCCATTTTCTGTCTTTGCTCTCTCCTTCTCTCTCTCATTTGCTCTTTCCCCACTCTCTTTTTTCTTACCTTTTCTCTCCCTTATTCCCTTGAGAGTTCTCATTGCTCTGCTCTCTTGCTCCCTCTCACTTTCTCTCTCATTTTCTCTCGTTCTGTCTCTCACTGTATTTCCCTCTCTTTTGTCTTTCATTTTATATGTCTTTCTCATGGCTCTCTCACATTTTCTCTCTCTCTCTCTTTCTCTCTGTGTCTATTTCTCTCTCTTTCATTTTGTGTCTTTCTGTCTCTGTTTCTCTTCTCTCTCTCTCTTTCCCTCTTTGCCTTTTTCTTGTCTATTCCTTGCTTTAATATTTTCTTTCTCTCCTCTCCACCTCTTTCTTGTTTTCTCTCTCTCATTTTTCATCTGTTGCTCTCTTCCCTCTCTCTGTCTCTTTCTGCTTCTCTCAGTTTCCCGCCTCTCTTTCTCTGTCACTCTCTTGGTCTCTCTCTCTCGGTTTCTCTCTCTCTCTTTATCCCCCTCCTTTTTCTGTCTTTCTCCCATTTTTGTGTGTGTCTGTCTCCCTTTCTCTCTTTCTCTCTCTCTCTCTCTCTCTCTCCTTCTCTCTCTCTCCCCCCCCTCTCTCTTTCTCTCTCTCTCTCTCTCTCTCTCTCTCTCTCTGTCTCTCTTACATAACTGTGATTGTGAAGCTGAATGGAAATGGTAGTGTGCATTAAGCTCAGGTCCCCATATTCCATCATCATGCTCTATCATCTCATGGCCCCTACCCCTCCTTTAGCAGCCCCAGGTGAGTTAATTGGCCCCCAGCACACTTAGATGGCCCTCCTTTTAAATGCTCTACGGTTTCCATGGTTGCCCCCATTAGGGCACCCCAGGGGCATTGACCTGCAACCCTCCGTGCACCACACACACTCTGCCTTCAGCACAAATGGGTGCTCATTATTGTATAGATCCCCCATCTAATACCTCACGTCCCCTCCCCTCCCCAAGTTGGTAGAGTTGAGCTTGTGTTTTTGGGTCGCTTTCAGCTTCTCCATTTATCTTTGGTGAGGCTTGGTGCTTAAACTTCGGAGAGAAGGAAATAATACATTTGGGTCTCTCTTTTCTTGTCTGTCCCAGTCTTTTATGCTATATATGGTCAGTGGGATGGACTATTAGCCTGAAGGTCAAATCTGATCTCAAGCCAGATTTTTAGTGGCCCAAAGCTGACCACACATCTCTCATAGTAACAACAGTGTTATACTGAAGACAAAATAGTTTAAAACACTGCTGCAGAGAACAAAAACACAGAGCAAGAAGTCAGACGGATCGTTTTCAGCCCGTGAACCAGCAGGGATCAATCAGTAAAGCAGAAGCTTTGCAGGCCAGCTGCTCATATTGGAATTGTTTCAACAACAGAAGCATTGAGTGATAACATGATTCAGCTGTATGTTTTTTTAAGGTTTTCATCTTTTATTAAGCATGTTACCAGTACAAGTGTAGGTACAACTCAATTCTAACTTTAGAGCTTTCCCAGCCAGCAAGTTGCAAGGAAACATTTTTGTGAAGCTTTTTGGAATTCATTTTTTCTTTAAAAACAGAACACATATTTCACATTGCTTTCCTGAACAAATGGTTTAAACAGGCAAGATCATTGGTGGAAAAAGTGAGTGAACTTCTATGATAATGATCTCGTGAAAAGAATACAGTTGGAATCATATGTTTGAAACAGTTCAGGTTTTTACCTGCCCTTGGCAGCAGAATCCTGTTGAAGTGTAATATGGCCAAATGAAAATATGTTGAACTTAAAATATACTTGAACACTCAGAAAGTAAGAAGAAAGTCAAAGCTCATAAGACTGAAAAGAGGTAACAGCCTACAGTCAGGCAGGTGGATTATAAAGGGAAGAAATTCGTCACATTTGCTGCTCTCTCTTTAGGAGACCTAAGATAAATACAAGACCACACCATAGAATCCCCAGACAAGTGACAGTGGACCATAGCTTGGCAGCTAAGAGCCTACAGGGCCTACAGAATAACACTTAATAAGACTAGTGTTCATGTGAGGTTACCACAGAGGAAACAATTGCTCTCCAGAGTAAGATCATTGCTGCTCGTCTTAAGTGCATGTCCAACAGCAGCACTAGAAGAATGTTGAACGTAGGATTTAGAACATAGGTAAATGGACCCAGGATTGTGTCTGTAGAAAGCAGAACGCTGCATACCATGACCAAAACACAACCCAACTGTGAAGCATGGTGGAACAAATTGTGTGGGTTTGTTTTGCTGCCTCAGGCCATGTACAGCTTTTAATTATTGAGGAAGCAATGAATTCGGAGTTGTGTCAGGAAATTATACAGCAGAATGTCAGTGTGTCTGTGATCTAAAACTCAAAAATGGTTGGGGCACTCCATGGGTTCAGTCCCATTGTGGAGTGATTGGAAGTGGGCCATTCAAGCAAGACATCCCAAATATATACACAGTTTCGAACAGTTTTATACAGAGCAGGGCTTCTCCATTCTGGTTCTGGAGTATCACTGCACTGCAGGTTGTAACACCCCTGCTCACCTTACAAAGGGCTTGTTTATTAGCTCGTAGTTGGATCTGGTGTGTTGGAAGCAGAGAGAACTGTAAAATGTGTAGGGCAGTACTTGGTGCTTCAGGGACCAGAATTGAGAACAGCTGGCATAGAGGAACATGCCAGAATACCTCTTAACCACTGTACAGGACTGATTGTGAGCTGTAGGAAGTGTCAGGATGTGTTAACTGCCAATAAAGTGTCAATATTTTACAGTAATTGTACTGTAATGTTTGTCGGCATATGCAACATTTTATGTCACAATAATTACCTAAGCTTTAATCACAGTTTACCGTATTGTCATGACATTGTGTTAAGAAAAAAAAACACTCTAAGATAACACGTACATATAGTGTTCTGAATGTTATTTTTAAATGGTAGTACTATGTTGGTGCCTACCTTATCACTAAATATTGCTGTATAACCAGAAGGTTCACATTCCTTTTCCATCTTGATTTTTAAAAGGCAATGGTTCAGTAATGCTATTCTAAAAATCTGTGATCTTTGTTAAAAAAAACATAATTTTGCCAAATGTTTTATTCATCAAGCCTTCCCAAACATTTTCTCAAAACTGTATTAATTATAACCCCTTAGTGAATATGTAAACCATAATCAGAATTGCACTTTATTCTAAAGCTTTGATATCTGTGTTTATATACAGTTTGGCACAAAATTCAGGAACAATCCTTCATTTATTTAATTTCTACTCAAAACAGCCATTAAGCACATTATTTTTCAGTTTCAGAAAAAAAGCAAGAAACATAATTAACAGAATATTGCACAGATACCTGTGTATAATATCAACCTAAACATAGTCATTCATTTTAATCAAAGTATTTAGTGTTTTCACTCATAGACTTGCTTTTTCCACGCCTCCAGAGTTCAGGCTTAGAAGTTGGTTGCATTTTTTGCTTCTCACAATCTAAGTAATCCTAAACACATTCATTGATATTGAGGTCTGGACTCTGGGGCGGTCAGTCCATTGTTCTGAGAACACCAGCAGCTTCTTTGTTTGATTTGCAAATTTTCTTCTTTTTCTTTAATTTCCTTTACTCAGGAATGGCTTCTTGACAGCTACACATCCTTTCAGACTCACAGCGCTGAGTTGTCTTCTCACAGTGAAAAGATGGACAGAAAAACTTGTGGATTTTTTCAGATGTGAAGCAAGAATGGAGCTTGTTTTTTTTCCTCTCTCTCAAAGACAAAAGCTTTAAGTTGTTTATCTGGTGGTTATTTTGGTGATCTACCAGGTCTTGTACTGTTGTTAGAGGATTCCTGTTTTTTCTGTATCTTTAAACATTTTTCGAACTCGTCCTTTTGCGTCCACCTCTTCACTCAACCCCTGTCCATGTCTCTTATTGGGTGCTGCACAAAAATTTCTTAACCTGAGTTGGTAACCTTGGCCTTCAGAGCACATTTATTTGTAGATGAATTTGGAGTTCCTTCCAAGATTGAGTTTTTCCCATTTACAGTAATAAGTTAATAAAAATCTTGTGTGTAGCAACCAAAAATAAGTATGTAGCTGCCAGTGTAGTAGATTCTGTGGCTACATCTGCTTTAAAAACAATATATTAAAGAGTTTTATAAGCCCAGAAAAACATTTTCTATGTTTTCCTCTCTGTCTCGTTCGCTCTCACCTGCCAACTCTGTCTGACTTGAGGGAGCAAAAGGCGATGCTGTTGCTGAAAATGTCAGTCAGTGCATTTGTGCTTTACAGCAAAGATCACCTGCATTGAAGCTAATCCTGAAATCTTGTTCATATGTGCGTTTGATAGATACACTTTGTTGTCTCTTGCTTATACAGCATCCTTCAGGAATTAATTATTGGCATCACTGTTTTAGGTGGTACATGATTTGATTTAGTGTGGTTCTTTATGTTGGACACAGACATTACATCATAGTAGACAGTTCTTTGTCCTCATCATTTTTATCAGGACGTGGTTAGCGGCGCTCCATGGACCTCAGGTCTGCAAATTGGGGCTGTCAGGACACATCAGATTTCAGAGAGTCAGAGTTAGTGGTTCTTAGAGTGTAGTGCAATAGTGTTTTATCCTTAGCAGCCCTAAGAAAGGTGAAGACTTCAGGACAACCAGTCAGTAGTAATAATGGTAAAAAAAAAAACAAAGACAAGACTCGAGCCTGTCAAATAATCCTGATTGTGGGAGGTGACAGG